ACGCAAGAAAAAGTGAGATAATGGCACGCAGCTTTAGCTCAATCCATCTCGACCTGGGCTTTCTCCGTATCTCCAAAGTGTGATACGCCGAGAATGACTTTTGCTCGAAGTTGTGTCGTGTGTATGTAACAGGTTCATGTGTGTTCGTATATTCCGCAACTAGACTATATCATGAAGCGCTACGCTTGTAAACAGCATGGTTAGTGCGCAATACATTACCAGCCATCTGTTTTTTGACTCATGTATTACTGCACTGATGGTTTTCCCAGTGAAAAATTTTTGAGATGCAATGCGAAACAATGCAAACATTTTTGAGACTTAGCTGTCTTTCTTTTGGATGCCTCGGTCACATTTCAAAAAATGTAAAGTTAACACAGTAGCATGAAAGAAAACACACACACTCAGTTATAATGGCACAGTGGCCGTAATACTGCAGTTTTCGTGGGATAACTGACAATTTGAAAATGATTTACACAAAGCAGGCACATTTTTTTTGTGATAAACACGAACTTTACATGTTCAGCGTTGCTTTCGAGTGAGATTTTTACTGATTTTCTGATTTTGGACAAGCTGCCCTGAGATTGAGAAACGAGGGAGAAACTCGTGCGGTGGTAGTTATGAAAATATAAGTCAGTTTCCATAAGACAGCCCACAAGCAAAGCACACAAAAGGCACAATATGTTATAGTCACCATTCCGTGTCACTTCATGATGATCATGTGAACTTCATCGACCACCGATGCTATCTCAAGTGAACGACATAGCGTCAGAGTGTCGTAGTGATGGATTCATTTGTAAGAAACCATGCCCCATTGTACGAAGCAAACAACAAACCATATCCACACTGGAGGAGCAAAAATGATTTTCTAGACATAAGTTCGTCTACTAAATACTCACGAGTCGTAAACAGATTCAAAACAATCTCAACAATACAAATTGATGAGACATGCAGTTTAGTGGCGCGAGATATAAGTTGTGGCCAAACAGCGCCAAAAGCGATGCAACTTATGTTACAGCAAATAAGCAAACAAACAAAACAGAAACTGTTATATGAACCGAGGTGTGCCGTTAGCGCGTTGAGAGCAAAAATCCTCCGTTTTCAAATTTCACATGACATTTAAGGTTAGGTGGTCTGGCTCGAAAGCAGAAGAAACGTATACGAAGAATGCAGTCAAGTAGCTCCCATCAAAACGGGATACAAAAAGGAGAAAACAGACAAATGAAATGAAATATATGAGCATTCATAAAGTAAGATTCTTTTCCTTGTACGGGCAGGTTGATAGAAGCATGGAGGCCGTATGGCCCGATTAGTATGTTGATCTGTCTAAATTCACAAAACGAGTAGATAAAGACACAGGTAAACAAACAAGCGTATATATATGTTGATGGAAAGGCAGTTGTTGGACACTAGAATGCAGTGAAAAATAGAAGCAAATACAAAAACCTCTATGACACCACAAAACAGTTGTTTTTTGTGTTCAACAATGTGACACTCCTTAGGAGCAAGTATTTTGTGTATTAACAACCAGAAATAGCAATCATCTGTGCGCTTCTTGAAGAATGAGGTCACTTGTAATGGTGAGTTTGAAACAAAGAAAAAAAAAGGCTGGAAAAACATCGTCAGATCTCTGCCGTTGTTACAACAAGTTGCATTGCGTTGCGCATTACACTTGACTGGCTGTCAAATAAAAAAAAAGGCGTGCACGGAGAAAATGGATGATTTCACAATATATACGTGGTCGCTATAAGCAGTGTTTACAATATTTGTGGAGCAATGCAGCGAACAAAAGAAGCAGATTGTAGCTCCAAAAAAAGCCGAAATACAGGCCGCAACTTTTCATTCGTGGGAAATTTCTCAACATCCAAACCACAACGTGCGAAGCCGCGACAGGAAAATCTTCAACCCGGCTTAAAAACTGCTTTAGATTTTCAGGTTACGGAGCGGTATCACACCTTATCACCGCTGATCGCAACTGCACTGTTTCATAAAAATACAGCATGGGCAAGGCAGAAAGGGGTTATGAAAACCATACAGTTTCCTGAATTTACACTAGAGGGAACTCTAGCGCCATTGTCTATGGGCGCTGCAACGCACGGCGTTTCAGCGAGCATGAGAATGATGGGTAGCACACGGATTTGTATAATCTTTTTTTTTTTTTGGTTTCGTGTGCGTTTGTGTGGCTTGAACCTGTTTTCTTATGAAACAAAAATGAGCAAATGTTGAATGGTTGTGCTTGACCACCTTAATTTTTTTAGTCCTACCATTTCAAATCGGGTCACGAAGTTCAAAAGGATTCGTTCTTTCCTTCCAAATGAAACCAAAACACAGCAATGAACGAAGCCACAACTGCAATTCGCCAGCCACCACTGAGACGGCTAGGCGAATCCTTGTACTACCCATCATTCCCAAGGTCGCTGAACGATCGCAGAGCCAGAGTCTCATCTAGTTAGTCTGGGAAACTCTATGAAGAAAACACTGTAAATACGCCATTTTTTTCAGTGAAGTACGTGTGCCCGGGTGGCAAGGCGGCTTTCGTGAATATGGGATATTTTTTGGATCGAACACTTCAAGGAGGCATGTCAGATCTGGCTGAGCTGCGCCAATTCTTCTTAACTGCGGAAGAAAATAGATCCTATGAACCAGCTAGGCAGTTCTTTTATAGCAACTTTATCGGGTGTATCACCTAGTCGTTAAGCAAGAACACACATATTGTTTAAAATTGATACATTTCGCAGACAAGTGGTGGCTGCCATTCACCAACGTGAATGCATATAAATCATATACATAGCATATCAATGGTCCACTGATGCTCGCCAAGTTGGCTAAAAAAAGGAATGGAAGAGAAGAGGAAAAAGAGTAATAGTTGTATCTATACAGTAACATTAACTCGAGACATGAGCCAAAAAGTGCACTTACTATTGTTCTAGCTGCGGTAAACTTGAGGAATTTGACAGTTTTGGGATAAGAAAAGATCATGACGTAAGATACCTTGCTTAGAACTCCATGCCTTGTAAATGATAGCACAAGATGAAACGGTTATTTCCACATGGTGCTCAAAACTTTTGTGAAACTGCACAGTGTTTGAGAATGGTTGCTTTCATTTTGTAGAAACACAAGGCGCATGTCCCGATGCTTCTGATACGGAGCAACAAGCGCTGCATTTCCCGCTATCACACATGGTTAGAGCTAGTTCAATAGAAGAGCGTGAGAGGCTTTAAGATACCAATAGCGTTTATAGTTGCAATTCAAATACAGTCCCCTGAAGTGAACTAGGCTAGAAAAAAAAAAGGATTTTAAAATACCGGTGCTTGAACTGAGAGCCATGGTCATGTTTTCGTGACCATAAGCACATGCTTAAAGCAAACAAAGCAATTACATCCGAAATGGTAGGCAGCCCTCCGCTTCCTTCACCCATCGCCCACGCTGTGACGTGTAGCAGAAGCCACTGGGAAACTAAGTGCGTCACATCTGCGTATATGCAACAAAAAGGTGCACACCACCGGGTTTGATCAGCTTGCGTGCTATGTACCGATGATTTTGTTTGTGTGTGTATGTGTATTTCGTGGAAAGCGAAGGTTCCCCGACTCGTTCAAGACCCTTCACAACGTACACAATAGACAAGCACTCACGCACAAATGCGCACAGTTCGCAGTTCCTTGCGCACAAGCACGCCTACTACACATGCGCACGACGGTATAACGGTCGATGGCAGCAGTGCGCAAACACGAGCGCCGCCGCTTTGAAAAGTTTGCCGCGCTCTGGAGACTCGTCGGGTGTGGTGTACAAGCCTACACGCGTCCACCGCTTGTGGCGCGCGGGGGCACCGCGTCACGGGGAGGAAATGAAGTGGTCGAAAGTGAGAGGTCCCGAGAAAAAAAAAAGTAAAATGAACGAAACGAAGCCAACAAAAGAAAACAACAGCACCGAACGTGCCCTGAGTGGCACTCGGTAACTGAAATGCTCAAAGACAATGGCAGAATACATCCGTTGCTTACACAAGCCGGCGATGATAGTAGTCTCTGAAGTCGTGAACGTGCACGTCGCGCTCAATATGACTTGCGACGTGTCCTCACGAGCTCAAATTGCACATGGCTTCAACTTGCCCTTGAGCGCGATTATTAAATTCTTCTTTGGTTTGGTAGCTAGACGGGTTATCAAACCATATAACCTACAACTCTTTTTTTACTTTGTTCATTCTACTCATTCAGGAAAAGTCAGCGCAGCAGGTAAGTATGGGATAGGATGAAATACCGAGTGGCAAAGTCAAAACATTCGCAAAGGAGAATCTTTGAGACGCTGGTGATGGCCCGGTCAACCTAAGTGGAACTTACGAGATTTCGTTCTCAGGTTTACTTTTAGAGTACCCATTGTAGCGCCTAATTCAGGCAATAGTAGTTGCGAATGTAAATTTGAACAATGAACTTATATATAGCACGTCGAACATCACATCTGGAACATCTGCTGCCAAGGAAGCCGACTAATTTGAATATTGGTGCCACTTGACCATCGGTGTCAACACTCATTCAGATGAACAAACCACTTTCTATCTTTCGCTAGTGCACCCCACCGATATTTTGAGAATAAGCAAACGTGCATACAGATCAGACCATATCAAGAGATCACATCAACAGAACAGATCTTAATAACCTCGAAATATTGTTGTGGCGACTGTTACTAAACAACTCCTGTAGCTGCTTCGCGAGCTTGTAGCCACCAGGAAAGGTTTTTAATGTGTAAACTGCAGTAACCTGAATTGCTAGCAATGCTTTTTGATCAACAGCTAACAAGCCTTGAACATCAGCAGCGTTGCCTTGTACTGGTAATTATTTTATTATGACAACTCACTCTACAGTGTCAGCTGTCACTTCGGTTTCGACACGTTTATGGCACACCTTCTTAACATGCGTTTGCCAAAAGTAGAGATGTACATGCGGACCCTGCTTGATGGACACCGTCTTTCCAGGTGACTTCAGAAAAAAAAAAGTAGTTGGGTAAGTATAGTCGCTGTTGTAATGGCGAATCTTTCGTAGGTTTTGAGAACCAACAAAAAGAGTAACATTTATTTCGGTCCTGCACACGCGAAAGAATAATTGTAGTATTAGTAGTGTACGCTTGAGATAATACGTAGATCAGCCGCTTGCTATTGGAAAGCGAAGACATAATTTGAATGGTGCATACAAGCCAAGTCAATTTTGGCCCTCTGCACGTGGCAAATGACACGAGTATACGAGAACGTTACACTGGCTGCCTCTCTCGTGGCGCTCCAGGTTGCGCTGTCATACATCGCAATTGCTTCACCAGCCTCTGATAAATGATAAACAATAAATCAACGAAGGCTAAACAAATTAATAAAGAAAAACGAAACGAGGGGGGCTTTCAGGGTCTCTCTTGTGTTCGCCTTAACGTGTACCGTGTTTGTTTTCGCAGGCCGTTATGAATATACAGCGTATCAAACGTCGAATCGCCGTCAAAAAACTTGCAGTGCATGCGCAGCCCCATCCGCGGTCCCCTCTAGCTCGAAAGTGTTACGCGCCGTTACATTGCGGTACAAGGCAGGCATTAGTGCCTGACTGCGGCCGGCTGGCGTTGGCTGCCCTGCTGCCTGCGGTGGCGGCGCGGCGCGGTGGCGGCGCCCTGGCACCGTCAGTTGGAGCCGCCCAGGCACTCGCACTCGTTGTTGCTGAAGTAGGACGTCTGCATCGAGTACAGCTTGTCGATGGGGTTCACGGCCGACGGGGCAAACATGGCGTCCGATAGCGAAGGAGGAGGCTGTCCGCCACCGCCTCCGCTCCCGGCCCCGATCAGTACGTCTTCGAGGCCGCTCAGGGACGTCTCACTCTCCATGGAGATCTCCGACTTGAGGTACGTAGGGTCGACGTGTGTCGGCCCGTAATAGGAACCTTCGGCGAAGCAAACGGAAAGTTGAACGCTAGTTAGAAGATTCATGGCGATCGAGATACGTTTGTTTGCCTGGTGGGGCAGCGAAATTCATACAGAAAAGAATAAATGAAAGAAATGGTATTTTACAACAGTGACAACACTAAACCACTTGAAGCAACACTATAAGAAAGAGGAAGAAAGAACGTGTGACTCTTTACAGCGATTCCTGGCTTTCAACGTTTTCAACGCATGTGACTCTCTTTGAAAAGTAACATTAACTCCCTTTAGGGGGCCGCATCTCCGTTATGCAAACAGAGGGCCTATGCCTCCTTAAAGAGAGTCAAAGCCTAGACGATACAAATCAGAATTCACGAAAAAAAAAAGACAGAGGACCTCTTTTATAATTGTACAAAGACCTGGGCTCGCACGTCGTAAATGGCGTAGGTCAACGCTGTCTCCCGTCTTAAAATAACGATGACGTATTGCGGCGAGGATGTTATTTATTTTTATTTATTTATTAAGTACTTGTTTCGCCATAAGGCATTACAGCAGGGAGGGTACCGTACATATAATCGAACACGTAAAAACATTCATAAAGCATGAAAAAAATCACTTGAATCAATACAGACTATTTCCGGTGGCAGAGTGTTCCATTTTCTTTTATAGTGCGAACAAAAAAACAGAAGCAAAAAGCGCCACCACCCAAACAAATCCCGCGTATTTTTAAGTGATGATCCCGTCTTTAAGAAACATAGTTGGGTTGTTGAAAATACAATTGCCCGATAATCCCTGTTCTCGAATGATAAATGCTATGAAAAAATTTTAATCTGAGGTTTCGACGGCGGTTTTCAAGAAGATTCCAGCTTAATGTTTTTCTGCTCTATGTCACACTAATCATTCTGTCGTAATCTTTAAGAACAAATTGAATTGCTCTATTCTGCACTTTTTCAAGTTTATCTGTAAGTTCCTTAGTATATGGGTCTCAGCAGACGCACGCATACTCCAGTATACTGCGGACCTGTGTAAAATAGAGCTGCTCTCAAAGTTTTTGTGGTAAACTACTGAAGTTACGTTTCAGAAAACCTAATGTTCCTACCGCCTTGTTCTTAACGTAAGTGACATGTTTATTCCACCCCAAATCAGCAGTAAAAAATACGCCTAGATATTTATATTCCGTGACATGTTGAAGATTAGCGTTATTGATCGGGTAATGATTTCTGCAGTGCGAGAGTTTCCTGGTGAAGGTTACGTGGACGCTTTTTTTCACAATCAACGACATTTTTTCATTTATCACACCATGTGGCAATCAAATCTAACCCCCGTATTCACAAACGCTCCTCGACTCGACTTTCACCCTTCACTTAATGGAGTTTAGCACTGCGCCACCACTCGGCTGAAAATGACTCTGCGCTACTGAATAATCGCAGCACGCTATCACTGATATGCAGTGACTTGCCGTGCCTAGAGATGACGCTCCAATCGACTTTCTCAAGTGAAGGTGAAGCGTTGAGTGAAGGGAGGTTCTAGAATACGGGGGTAAATCTTTTTGCAGTGCTTGTTTGTCAAGGTCGCTATTGATGGCCCTATATATTGTCGCAGTGCAACGCGAACAAAAGATGACAGCAGCTTACGGCAGCGAAAAGAGCGTATTCAGGATCAGTTGTACAGCAAGACGCCTGCTTCGTTGTCGTCCCGAAAAACCGCCTGACCCACTAGCTGGAATCTACAAAACATTCCTATCATCGTTATTTTTCATATAAACACGTGTCACTTGCCCCTCCTTCTAAGAGCATCGCCCCGATGCTGATTCAGACCTACAGTATTTTTTTTAACGTTCCGTCAGCCCCGCCGCGGTGGTGTAGTGGCTAAGGTACTCGGCTGCTGAGCCGCAGGTCGCGGGTTCAAATCCCGGCTGCGGTGGCTGCATTTACGATGGAGGCGCAAATGTTGTAGGCCGGTGTACTCAGATTTGGGTGCACGTTAAAGAACCCCAGGTGGTCAAAATTTCCGGAGCCCTCCACTCCGGAAATCTATCTATCTATCTATCTATCTATCTATCTATCTATCTATCTATCTATCTATCTATCTATCTATCTATCTATCTATCCGCCTACAACTTTCAGCTCTCCTGGCCGTTTGGATAATGGGACCTATACTAAAACTGGTATGTCATAACATTACTGTATGACGAGCATAAATGACTAGTCAGAACGGCGGATAACATGAAAACAGTGACATGTATGTCATGAGTTACATGTCACGGTCTCACTGTGCCTGCGTTAGTTTCGTGCACATGACATGTCGCAAAACTGGTATGGTTTGACATGACTGCATGGCGAACATAAGTGACAGGCCTTCACGTGGAAATCATGACATGTGTGTCATGTAAGAACATGACTACATGCCACGCTCATGATGCGCTGACGGTTGTTTCACTAGCTTACATATACCAGATTTGCTGTTACGTGACGTGAATGGATGATGAAGGCATGTGATTGGTTCAAACATGATAATCATGACATGCGTGTCATGTAAACTACATGCCACGCTCATGATGTGCTCGCGGTCGTGTTGCTAGCTTCAAATATACCAAATTTGATTGATTTGGGGAGTTTAACGTAAAAAGCCACACAATTATAATAGGCGCATATATACCGAATTTGGTATTACGTGGCGTGAATGGATGACGAAAGTATATGACTGGTGCAAACATGACAATATTAACACGCGTATCATGTAAGAACATGATTACATGCCACGCTCATCATGCGCTCGCGGTCGTTTCGCCAGCTTCATATATACCAAATGTGGTATTACGTGACGTGAATGGATGACGAAGGTATATGATTAGGGCGAGCATGATAATCATGATATACGTGTCGTGCAAGAATATGACTAGATAGCACGCTCGAGTCGTGGCTCGAGCCACTAAGAAATTTTATTCGCAGGAAATAAAACCTAACTGTTGAAGGAACTCGAATAGCAGCCATGTATAAGGATCGAATTGTGTAATATTTACGAAGAAGAAAACCTTTGTAAGCTGGGAAACGAGCTATAAAAAAAGAAAAAAAAGAGGGGGGGGGGGGGCGATAAGCAGCACCACCGAAGTTACGCTACGAGATGCCATAACATTATAGGGCATGTTTATAACTTGTTGGGAAACATTAGTGTAGGGGTAGGTAAGAAAAACTGATTAGCTTTGATGAAACAAAAGGCGAAACAAAAAAACAAAATTGATCTTCCAACGAAAAAAAAAACAACCTGAAATCAAATAACTCACCGCTACGTAGGCACTATTTGTTGAAGCGGGGAGCACTCTTTGCGTAGACATCTGATTCAACGCAGGTGGTAGGGCCCAGTAAAGAATGACCTCCGAGATCACCTACACAGCGCAGGACTTTTACGTAAGCAACCCCTTTTCGCCGCGAATGACTTGAACAGTGGATTATGGCAGTGACCGCTAAAGTTCAGATTGTGTATTTAATCTGTAAGCGACCGCTCAGGAATAAAACAGACTTGGCGAAATTTCAGAAAGGGTAGCCTAACAATCTGAGTTCGTTAAATGTTTGCCTTTAGAGTTCCTAATGAGACGCTTCTCTGACGCCGCCATGCATAGGAGCTAATTACGTCATAACAGGGAGTCAACGAAGCGGTGAACAAGCGACCAAAGGCGTCAATGCGAACAGTCACTCCATGTATCCGGAAATGAAGGCTGATCCTGGCTGATTTCGATATAGCAGCACTATACTTCAGTGATCGTTCAGCTATTACGTCAACACGACTGTACATGTCATTGTGTGCCATCAGATTAGTGTCGACGCCGTTTGCCGCAACAGCGTATGAGCGTTACAACGTGGAAAAAACAGCACGCAGATAATGCGTAGTGGTAGTGCCCACACTCCAGCACACAATACAGGGTGGTTAAAAAAAAAACTGACGCGGTAAATTTCATCTTTGAAACTTCATTAGGAGCTTCGAAGACTCCAATCCTAGTTCTGAAGTCTGTGCTTGTCAAATGCTTTTAAAAAAGTTTGCAAAAAAACGAAGAAAACTGAGGATAAAATATCAAAATTGAGCCACCACTCCACATTGTGACAAGAAGCGCGAACTATAGAGCAAGCGTGTCCTGGCGTTGCTTACCGTCGTGATGAGTGCCGTAAGGCAGTGGTTGCAGATGGTACGGAGACCCCACGGCAGACGGCTCGAGAAGGCCTAACCTCGAGAAGGGTGGAGCTGCAAAAACGGAAACATTTGCGTCTATTTTACAGCGAACGAACAAGAATATGCAAGCACATTACTCAAAAGAGTGGTGACACAATTTGAAGACATCGCGAAAGGGACATTTTTCGTTTCCTTGGTGTGAGAACTTTCACCCCGCCAGCGTCAGACAACACGTACAAAAGATTTTATTTAAATTATAAAGTTTTCATCACTGGGTATCTTCAAGTCAGCTACACTGCAATGCACATTATCTGAACGAGTCAAGACGGTTCCCGAGTTTGCGAGCTCTGCCTCCTGTATGCAGCCTAAAGATGAGAAATCCCTGTCAGTGTCACTGTACAATTCACTCATCGCTGTTTACGAGCACCTGGAGCGGATGACAGATTTGCTGTCTTCCCGTGATGTCGCACTGATATGACACGTCACTGAGAAGCCGGCCCTTCGATATCGAAACCGAAAGTGTATTTGTTAAGAGGCGGTAATAAAATTATATTCGATGCATTTCCAGGCACCCCAGCACTCGTTTTAAGTTTCTCGACACCAGCATGTTTATTTAGAGCAACAATTCAAAAAGGAAAATAACATTTGTGTCAGTACTCTTAAAAAACAACAACACAGACGCAATGCATTACCGGTGCGGTAACTCTATCACCTAGACACAAGAGCATTTACTGGGCCAGATAAAAATGGATGCTCAAATTGAAGGCCGCAAGAAATATGGCACAGTTCGACAATGTCATCTTTGCTTACCGTCGAAGGTGGCTTCCCCGCAGTAGTAATTCTCATGCGGAGCAGCCGACATTCTAGAAGGCACAGTTTAACGCGTTATACTACACCATGTTTGCCAACGTTTTGCGCCCTTGTCATTGACTACTTCTGATATTTACCAAGTTTTCTTCCGAGTTATCGATCTCTGAACAAAATATTTTGCCAGTTTTATGCTCGCTTAGTGTTGACGCACTCCACTGGACCGGAGGATGAACGAGAGTTTGAAAACGGTGGTAAACGTGCCACAAGCATGGAGATAATGTTCATTACTTGCCAGAACTGCACCCTCTATTTTTAGATAATTCCTATTATATACATCACTTTGTTTCCCAAAATATTACGTAGAAAAAAACTGCCCTAGTTTCCAGATTTCTTCTAAAGAAAATGTCAGTACAGTAAATCCTCTCTGAATAGCGCTGCGGTACTCGGTAAACGCACTGTCACCTGCAATTAGTGCATTTTTATTAAATATATTGGACGCTAATTGTCAGCGTTCGTGGCGTGAAGCCAACGGATAATAAAATCAACAAAACCATAGGTCGCACTGTGCGCATCTGTGTGGTATTTTTGTTTTAAGCTTTGCTACCCTATAGATTTTCCAATATTATATCAGGAATTCTGTACCCCTTTTTCTCAGATTAAACAGAATACAGCATGGTTTTTATACGTTGTTTATAGAAAGTGCACCTTCTTTTCATATTTGTACAAACAGGAATATCGGAGTTGGTGTCGAACGTTTGATAATCTTAATAATCTTCGTCATAGCACGCCCCTTCACTTATCATTTGTTTTACAGTGACGTTCGCGTGCTTAAAGCACCGTTTTCATTGCCGTGGCACTACTACGCAATTACATAACGTGACAAGAGTCACCACGTTTTTCGCAAGCAAGGCTAGTTTGTTCTGGAAACTATTTGTCCCTCCTTTTCATGCACAATAAAATTCCCATTTTACATGATATTACTCACACCTTAAAGGTATAGGCTGGAGAACAATATAGCAACAGTTCGCCATTTAGTAGATGTGGAGAAGGCCTGAAAAAAATGATATTCAAAGGGAAGCTGAAGGGATTTTAGAATTAAACCAAACGTCGTGTTTATGAAGAACCAGCATTATTGTTCATGATGTAATACTTTTTTCGTGGTTGTAGCAGCAGAAGCTTCAGAACAGGCTAAATAAAAGTTCGTCTTGCTCCGCCCCCGCAGGTGCGCTGAAAGTGTGGGCGTGGAAACATACGTCATCTTCGTTTCCTCTGTCCTGGAGCAAGTGTTCTTTCTTATCGTCAACCATGGCCTCTGGGACTAACCCATGACGTGCTGTTGCCGGAACTAATCGAAGAGGCCACACTTCCGCAGTGCTGCTGTTGCAGGTGACGTGGCATGCCGAAAATGACGTCACCGTGTTCGCTCAGCGTCTGAAAAAGCCCGGTGGCCACAGCCCCTGTTGTTTCATCAAAAAAGAGCTATTGGCGTTCACTTTTGAGAACTCTCACATCGCTTTTCTGATTCAGCAGGGATCAAACTGTCCTTACACGCTCCTAAGTCATTTTTTAGAAAAGTGCTTCAGCTTCCCTTTAAGGAGAGCAAGCGATACATGATGGACAGATCTGTGTCAGTCACAGCCATAGTAACCAACGGATAACGATGCCAAGGAAAGTACAAAGAAAATCATCTTTTGTTTTAGTTAAAGCATATGAATAGCAACGTAGAGTGAAGTAGATCAGTATATGACGTCATTTCGCGGTTTTATGCATCTTAAAAAGACTGCATGTGTGCGCGTGCGTGTGTGTTTGTGTGTTCCTGTGCATGTGTTTGTGCGTGCGTTTGTATGCGTGTATGTGTGTAACGAGGAAGTGACCTATGTACGAGCCACACGTGTCTTCATGATGAGGGCTGAGTCATATTAAAGTAAAATGATCTAACCTATTAACTAATAGGGTGCCTTTTACTAACCCCTAACTGAATTCCAGCCACGTCGGCCTTATTTTTGATCAAGCCGAAAATGTTCGAGGCCCGTGTATTGCACGTTGAAAAAAAAAAAACACACACTCACATGGTCGAAATTTCAAGGGCTCTCCACTACGGCGTCTTTATAATCGTACGGTGATTTTGGGACGTTAAATGTCAGTAATTGTTATTATGGACCTATATCCTATAATATTTATCTGCCTTTAGAAAACGAACTTGTGAGTAGGGAATAATCTAAAGGAAGTGTGCTGCATGGCTTTTCGTTAGCATGCATCGCATTAAAGGAAGCTCACGTGCAGGACGAATAACTCACAGCTGAGGTCGGCTGGCGATGCTGACTGGCGGCCATCGTCGCTCTTCTTGGAGTCTTTGGTGGAGGAGGCCATCTCGCTGCCTGAACTGTCTCCCCCCGCGTTCTGCTGGCTCTGCTGCTGCTGCTGTTGCTGTTGCTGCTGCTTGCGCTGGATCTTCTTTAACTGAGTCAAATGATAAAAAGAGGCGCTCAATCACTCATTCTTTTATTACCAACCGAAAAAAAAAAAACCACAGCTGTGACTCGGAAGAACAGCTAAAAGGTCCGCTCGCGTTGAAATATCGGTCGAAATGAGACTTCCTTACGTACGATTGTTTCCAAAAGCTAGCTGGTTGGGATTTCGCACACTTGAAACAAATAATCATGAAAACAATGATTTTAATAAGAGTTTGTTGACATCAAAGCTGTTTCTTCGTGCCAAGACATCAGCGCACCACCGGATTCTGCTCAAAACAAGGAAAAGAGTGGGCCGTCTTTTTGATGCATTGGCAAACGAAAGAAAACATCTCACCTTCGCTCTTTGGTTTTGGAACCACACTTGGACGATTCGCACGCTGAGACCCGTTTCTTTGGCCAACGTCTCACGAACCTGTACCGAAGTAGACAAAAACACACTTGGCTGATCCCCAAGTCCTAAGAACCGGTACAACAAGAAAGAGAAACGCGTTATCACAGAAGTGGTGGATTGTTTATTGTGCATTGATGTATCAGCGCTTGTACAATACCCATCAGTGTTTGGGAGTTATAGCACCGTTTGACATGGACGTACCCACGTCTACACCTCGTGGCACATCTACATGCCGACGACAAGCGCCCAGGATAATGATTTAACTGTTGTAGTAGCTGAGGTTGTTAACATATATACACGGACGCAGCATATCGGGAATCCCGCGTAAAGATGACGTGAAAAAGTATATAATAAACACTGGTAATCTGTATACAATGCTTGGAAGCGTCGTCAATCGAGGAGAGAAACAGCAAGATGTGCGCTCTCGAATAATAGGGTAACGTACGCCCGTGGTCATGAATACACTACTACACGGCATTCAGCAACACGGGGTGAACAGGTTTGTAGTCCCAGCTTTAAATGTGTGAAGGCGTTCCGCGTCCCATTAGTTTCGCTTCCCCAAGGCACATTTTTCGCCCGTCAAAATTTATGCTTTCTGGGGCGCTTACTACAGCAGTTCCATTTGCCGGTGCTGTCACACTTAAAGCAGTAGGCGATGCAGTAGGTGGTGTTGGTGCATGTTGAAGCCCCACTGCACCGGCAACGAGCCACCACTCGCTAACACAAAACTAACGGCAAAAAGATAACTGTGTTCAGGGTGACTCCTCGACGAGACGGGTCGGCCAGTGCTCATCGCCATCCAGACAAGTCGTCGCCCAATCGCTCCATATCGGCACTCGTTAATGTCATAGCGCAGTATTTCCATTCAGTGCTCACAGAGGGCGACACCACCTTGCAAACCAAGAGCACGTGCGAGAGAGATTATCTGTGAGATATAAGGCGTGTTTTTTAGGCCTTGTACATTGCATCGGTGGCTCAGTGAGTGAAACGCCCAGCACTCATCGTCGCGGACTGAGAGGTCGTGGGTGCGATTACCCGTGACGAAACTTTTTCTTCTGGTTTTTTTTTCCTTGCCATCTGTAAGTGTGAATTTTACTAACGTCTTATTTATGACGTAAATACGTTGGTGAAGCCTTGGAGGAGCCAGGCATAAAACAATTTTGTGTCAAAAATGACGATTCACAATGAATGAAGATGAGCTTGCAACAAATTACAAAGGTGTCCGTTGGGCACTCCACCTTCTTGCCAGCCTTAGTGAGTTCGCCCAAATATGCCATCCTTCTCTCTGTGTTTAAAGTGTCATCTAAACGTAAATGCCTAGCTGTCAATCTGCTGAGCACAAGAGTTGCCATATTATTCATAAAGCAAGCACAAGCTCAAAGCTTGGATGGCGATGCTGTGCCAAATGCAAATTTCTCACTTTATTATGGTTTCATCAACGTCTTCCGCACTTTCTCTGCCTCTCCAAGGTGAGTCAGAGAACACGAATATTAGTTGACCAGTGCGACAACCGAAAAAGGAGTCGTCCCAGTTTCGATCCTGTCACGTATCGTAAGTAGTCCCACCCACAACCACTTCGACTTCACCGCAATAACGCGGGATTGGCGCGAGAAAAAGACATTTCGCATAATATATATAACAAAGAAACACTAAAAAAAGCCAAGTTTTGTCGGTCGCAGAGCCACGCAACGTTCGGCCCCAATCAAAGATAAATGGGCTCCATAAATCACCACCGCAGGGAAACCCACGCCGACTTCTTCTTCCACCCTTTACACGCAGTACTTCTTGCAGGGGAGACCTGCCCTCCCCTCTTCCTAACTTTTCACCGCCGACGCACACGCGCCAGCGCTGCGGCTCTTGTGGCTTTTTCTAGAAGAGTTGTTTTGCTTGTCGAGCGTCCGAAACGCACGCTCTCCGCACGCGAGGCGCAACACACACGCCACCAAGAAAAAGAGACAGAGAGAGAGAGGGGAAGAAAGCCGTCGCCAGGTGCGTCGAGAGATGCCGGTGGCGGCGTCGTATACCAATCGAGCACCGAAGCGCGCACGCGGGGCGCATTTCACGCTTGGAAAAGCCCGCTGGTTTCGCCGAAAAACCTGGCCGCCTCTTCCATTCCTGGGATTCGACGACGCTCAGAAGTCTACCGAGTAGTCACGTTCACACAGCAAAGAAAAAAAAATGGGGGGGGGGGGGGGGCAACCGACGTCTAACGCCTTGATTCTCTACCGCGACACCTCCCTGCGCTTTTCTCTTGGAAAAACCGCGACCGAATGAACGGCCTTCCACGCGGACACCCGCGCCTTTGCCGAGGAATGCTTCCTTTCCGCGGTGGCCTTCTTCTTCGGGTCTGCGCTTCTTTCTCCTTTTTTTTCTTTCTTTCCTCCCGCTTCCCTCGCTCCGGTGTTCCCGGTTTTTCACGGAGCTTGGACCGCGCCGCACGCGGCTTCTCGGTGCAACCACGCCGCGTGAGCTCCATATTAATTTCGCGACATTATCCGCGGTGCCGCGCGAGAGCCGATCGCGAGACGCGGAGGCGAGCCCGGTCCCGTGGTCGCCGCTTTATTAAATCCCGAGACAAGTGATAAATAACCGCCCCCCTGCACCTTTCTTCTCTCCATTGCCAGTTATCCCCTTTTTCTTGCTTGGCTCACTCCGCAAACCTTGTTTGTTGCCGCGTGTGCTCAGTTTTCTGGCCTATTGATCTGCCTTGTTTGTTTTTTCTTTTCGCCGAGTGGCGTCTTGTGTCACCGCCTTTTTGGGCTAAAACGCGTCGGGAGAATCCTCGCCTTCGTGGCTCGGTCCAGTTGACTTCACTCTTTGGGCACTTTCGAGGCTACACGTCCGGATGAGCTCGGCTCAACAGCAACAAGGAAGTTCGGCGGTGCCCTCTAGACGGTACGCCTTCCTTCCACCCCCTTTTCTGTACGCGGGTTGTCGTTTTACTTCCTGTTCATGATCCGGTGTGAAGGAATCAACTCCTCCCCTTTCCACTGCAGCACATTGCTCTCCTCCGGTGCCCTAGCCGCCACCGTAGGCGCCCTGTACACCATGGTCGGTAGCGGAACGCCTTTCGTCCTTTCTCGCACGTTCGGCACCTACAATAGGCACAATACGGCTGGCTGATCGTGCCACTCACCCACACCTATCAACCCTTTCATCGTAAGCTGTACCTCCCAGTGCCACCTTCGCACGCACTCTTGCAACGGCTCTCTAACGTGCGAACCGAAACAACAATGCTGAGAGCAAGACGAAAATATTGCGCCTGATTTCGCTGCCGTCGTGTGCGGGGAATTCTAACAACCTCGTGCCCTCTTGGGTGTGGAAGAAACATGCACACGCAAGAAAGGGGGAACGGCGCGTGCGAGAGAAAGAGGGAGACGCCGCCTTCGTATCGAGGGCCTCAACGCGGCTCATTATTCAAAAGAATTCCGGCTGACAAAGTTTCCATATTCGTCGCGTCGCCGGCCGCCCACGTGCACGAATGCGGCACTAACAAGGCGCGCGTTGCCACCGCGTCTTAGTGTCGCAGCATGCACAGTTTGTCTTTCTCTTTTTTCTTCGCTCGGCCTCATTGTGTCCCTTAATATTTTGTCACTTCCTTCTGCGGCATCCCTCGTGTTTGTTTTTTCTTCTTCTTCATCTCGCTCGCTCAAATTTGCGCACACTGCCCGCATAATACACCACGTGTACTGGACGCCATCGTTTTGTTGCGTGTATACTCTTTGTCCGATGGCCAAGACTGTTTTCTTGCTATACGCTTCCGATACGAGTGAAAGTGTGCTTTTGCCATTGTTGTTACGGTCTGGGCTGAGGGGGGGGGCATGCGCAGTAGCCCACAAACCTAAGCTGCGCTCGTATATATATATATATATATATATATATATATATATATATATATATATATATATATATAGGCCCGTCTGTTATGGTCATCATTAGCTGTTTTCTTTCTTTTGCCTGACTTGATGAACATTCATCATACGAAAAACTCAACGTGCAGAGGCTGCAGCAAGGAAAGGTAAACATACAAAATTTGTTCACTGTGCCTCTCCCCCCACCCTTCCCACTCTACCCCCGCACGCGTCCATAGAGACGTGTAACGTTGCCGCGACGAAAATGAGTGAGCCTGAGAAATTTTTAGGTGCGTAGGGATGCAAAAAAGAAACGCAGTCCACCTAAGCTATACATGTACCGGCGCAAAAGCTGTGCGTCAACAACGCCCGTGTCGGCGTTTTGTTGTGTGTATACCCACGTGCCGACGATCGTGGTTTAGGCGTTAATAAAGGCGCTGGAAGGTGTTTGTGTAGTCGGCGGTGTAGCCTTTATTTGAGCCAAGGAACAAAATTATTGCGAACGCATACATCAAGCGTGTTCTCTCTTGTGTGGCGAAACAATTACCGAGCCACGTAAGCCAGTGCAATATTGTCTTCTCGGAAGTGCCTAATGGCGTGGAAGACAGAATGTCACTCTCTAGAAGGTTATGCCTAGGCGCTACACAGATTTAGGCATAACTGAGATAAACAAAAGTTATAGAGAAATAGCAAACACCGAGAATAATATGCACGAGATCAATTTTGAAAACACACGGAAGTTCTTAAAGAACAAACTTTTGTTTTCCGCGAGATGCACAAAGGCGGCAACGAAGTTTGCCTGCATGCAAGAGCCGAAAGTCGGCAAATGACTCCCCCCTTTCTCGCTATATACACACAAGTGATTCTTCATCCCAGTTTCATTTTCGAACGTCAGATACCGGACATTATTGGGGATAACTTCGTTACTCTGACTAGAATGCACTACCCGGAATGAAGAAACTTAACTCTGCCAGCGAACAAATGGTTCATCGAGTCCGTCTATGTGGTACAGGTGTTACGGTGCTCAGCTGAAGACCCGAAAGTCGTGAGTTCGATGTCGGTCGTGGTGGTTGCATTTCGATGAAGGCGAAATGCTAGAGATCTGTGTACATGTCAGCGCTGCAACATTTTTTCAGCATGGTCAGAAAACGCTGCTGATCGGTAGTCCAGGCTTCTGAGAACATGCGAGACACGTGGCTTGGAATTTACAATTTATTCTCAGTCAGCAATGAATGGTTTCCCCTTTTTTCCGCAAATGATGCCATATAACCAGAGGTATATGGCATCGGCGGGCCATATACTCAGGTGTATACGCCCCTCCGAGATGGCGGGCAAGCGCACACGCCATCTCGGAGGCCATGCTCGCAGTGTTCAAACCTACATAGTTACTGCGACCGACGCAGGAGGCCGCCACATGCCCTCACGTGCTCGCGATTGCTTGCGATCACAGTGAAAATAAGGCGCTTGTTCAAAACAAAACAACCAAAGAAAACTCGACGTCATTAGGCGTGCGTAACATCTCTTCATTCTCCTGTGCCATTCCTTCCTGCTTAGCTTCCAGTTCCAGCACACTCTTCGGGACGAGAGAAGATAGAAAACAATTACAGCGTGCGACTAAGCTCTTGTAACCCCGCTCGCACTTGAGCAATTCTAAAGAAGATTGCGGTGGTCGATTTGTGAGCCAAAGAGCTCCTTCGGCGGAGCCATTTGATCATTATTCAAAAAAAGTGTTGCAAGGCCCCATTTAAAGAACGCCGGATGGTTTTAATTTCCGTGGCACTCCACTATGACGCGCGTCGTAATCACATCGTGGTTTTGGCTCGTAGAACACCAGGTGTTGTTACTGTATGGTGAATTGAACATTCGTTTTTAATTTTTTCTTTATTTTCACCTTTTTTTTTTCGTGACCAGATGGGGATCACGACAGGAAGCCTCAGATTTTTTTTCGTCTCCAATACTAGGCTGTTCAGTTTGCTAGTGCCTACAGTTGCACTGCATTATAAATATCATTTTTGATTTGAAGCTGTAAGTCATGAGTGCCTTCATAATGGGTTTTTTGTCGAATACACTTTTACTTCAAGACGCATGCGCATACGTGAAAAACTACCTGGGTTTTATAGTGTGGAAATCGAGTGAATGCCGCTGACTTGGTTTACGAAAGAATTCAGCAGCGCAAAAGAAGCGGGAGCTTAATAACCTTTTAATTTTTGCAACTATAGTTAAATATATTCGAAACTTGCTCATATACTAATGAAAGGAAAAAACAACTATTAATTTGTTGAACGAGAATATGTGCACCTCTTAACGAAAACATACACTTACTCTTTGTTATTATCTACAGGATATGGTTTCCACTTTGTTCATGGCACGTTTGTTAGTGCATGAATAAGGTTATTGGTCGACTTCCCCAAATTATGTTTGATTTCAATGCTGAACTATACAAAGTTATCAACAAAGGCGCTATTCGTGATCATGACGAGCACTAAACTAACCATGCTTCCAGAAAAAAACGCGACCATCTCCCTTTCTCACTCCTAAAAGACCCACACACGCACACGCAACGAGTGGCGAGGAAATCCTGCAGGCGATTCAGTGAAAAAAGACACCCAAATACGATCATTATAAGGAGAACTAACCACTCTGAAGCACTTTTTGAGCACTGGCCTCGGAAAGTCCACCGAAAGAAGGGACAGCTACAATGACCGCTGTATTACTCTGCTTCGAGCAACACAAAACGAGCTTCCCACTTGCCTTGCGGCATGGCTTCTGGCTGATCTCGAAGGATGCCTTGAAAGCGCGCCTCTGCGCCGTGGTCAGGATGGTGCGAGGCCTCTTAGGACCCCGGCGGCCGTCGGGACGAACTGCCGCTGCTCCGCCGCCAGCACCCGGTTGCTGACCGTTGGGACCCCCGCCCGGCAGAGGACCATTCTCGCCTGCGAAACCATTGTGGTGCTCTTCCTTCAGCAATCAAACATCACGCTCAGCTGTTGATTTCAATCAATCAATCAATCAATCAATCAATCAATCAATCAATCAATCAGTCAGTCAATCAATCAATTAATGAATCAATCAATCAATCACTCAATCAATAAATCAATCAATCAATCAATTAAATAATAAATAATTAATTAACCAATTATTAAGTTTTATTGCACGAGCAGCAACCATGAACTGTAATCAAAATTGCGTGGTGGTGAGCACTGGCAAGTGCATTATCTCGACAGGTGGCCCGTATATGGCCTTGTATGTTCTTAGTTCATGTTGTGCACTCACCACTTATTTCGCATTGAGAGAACAGACAACACGAAAACTGCTTTGCTCCATGGAGCGGCAATAGTCCCTTACAACAGTTATGTAGAGTTACGCGGGATCGTGCACGCATTACGCGGGACCTCGTACAACCTTATCGCTCATTGCTATCGTATTCGTTTCTTCGGCCTTAAGGCTAAACCAGGTTTTTTTTACTCAGGCTATAAACAAAAACCACAAATTAAAATAAATCCGAAGAAACAATTGCCGAAGTGCACCCTCGCGATTCGAACTTGTGATCCCTCGCTCCACAGTGTGCTGCAGTAAAGACTGCCCTGCAATATGCCACACGTTCTTCAGCGTATTGACGCAGATCTCGGAGACGCTTCGGTGTGTTCAGTGCCACCCATGCGAGATGGTGCGAAGGACACGTTTCAAAGCGACGTTCTTACATTTTGTTTCAACTGCTCTTCAGACGCGCACAAAGTGTGGTCTGATTTTGTACCCATTTGTGATCTGGAACGCCAAGCAAGCATTGCTTTGAGCGTCATTGTGCCGCAAGATGCGCGCAAGGGTCAGTCACTCCATGCGTCTCAGTGTTCAACAAGGAACCGCTGGCACATTTCACACTTGAAGCGCTCTGATCAAACACAAAGAAGTTACAACTGTGAAAGTTGTTAGCTCCCGTTCAACCTGTGCTTTCTTTTCAAGCGTCCTTCTTTATGCTTTAGCAGCGTGGTGCAAGTGTCGAGCTGTGACGGTTGTTAGTTCGCGCGCGTCCAGCGTGTTGTTTTCGTGTGTCTTTTGCGCTTGAGAGGCGCACTGCAAGTATCGAGCTGCTTCCTGTTCACCATGTGACATACGAATTTGACGATTTCGCATTGATTGCTTCGCCCTCGCAACATAAATGTTTGTCCTTTTTTCTCGCTGACCCACTCTGGTCTCATTCTGCCCCTTAAGGTTACACCTATCATTTCTATTTCCATGGCTCGCATGCGTAGTTGTTAACTTAGGCTGAGCCCTTTTGGTAAGCCACCAACTTTCAGCCCGCAGGTTTCAGACCATTACCAAATGCAGCTGTTATACACCTCTCTTGGAGCTTTCCTGGATACTCTCCTATACAGAGGGGCAATCACGCAAAACGGATACCACCTTCAAGCTACGCATGCCAGTTCTTTCGCCCCCAGAAGGTACAACTATACGCACAAGCCACGTGATATAAATATGAAAATGGCAACACATTTTTTTTTTAATTTTCAGAGAATCCGAAGTGTTTAACCGGAAGTGCTTGGAAGAGAACGAAGAGTGTCATTCGTCGGTCGTGCCAGGAATGGTTTTCTCGAAATGGACTACATGAACTGTTGCTTACAGCATAAGAGCTGCGATGATGCGAGTACATATAGTTAAGTACCTCTGGTCCCTGGTAGGGTTGCGTTGGGTGCGTGTGCAGCCGGGTGCTGCGGCGGCGCGTGAGGCTGGGCTGGCTGGCTGTTGTGGTGCTGTGCCATAGAGACGAGTGCCATCTCCTTCTCGAAGTCGGGCCGGCAGTAGAGACGCGCGGCGCGCACCACGAACTGGTCGCCCTTCTGCAGGGTGCGGCCGCAGACGACGCACGCGAAGCAAGCCACGTGGAAAACGTGCTCCAGGGCGCGCATCACCAGCTCGCTGGGCGCGATGCAACCCAGGCATCCCGCGCACTTGACGCCGAACAACCTGCGTGGAAGTTGTGCACTGTCAAAACAACAGAAAGCTTTGATTCACTGCACCACTGACGGTTGTCAACGGTTCTCGAAGAGCACACTTTTTGTATCGATCCTTATAATTGGCTTTATTTCCCAGGAACGAAAGAAGGCGTATCGTTCGAGGGGATCGTTTATTTGTCAGACAACCTAAGTAAGCAGTTTGTGTGTTGGTTTCTGTAGGTCAATTTCTCAAGGTGATATTATAAGTTTTGTATTAGCAAGGTTATTTATTATACGTTCTTGATTATTAAGTTGCATAACAATGGTTTTTGGAATAACTTTGGCCTTATGAAGCGTCATATTCTCTCCGCTTCATTCCCACTCCCCTCCTATACGGTTTAATCCCCATAATCTCACTAATTATAACTCCTTCGACCAGCACACGTTTGCACGAGATGCTTTACAGCAGCGGGAACAGCTTTGTGGCCAATAGTACTCGCGTCATTGTCGGGGCAATGTTGAAGTGCAACCTGTAGATAACCTGCAGTGGCTGTATGAAGGCATGCTTCCAGAATTTCGTCTCGTAGTGATGCGAACCCGAGGAACCACACTGGTGCTTTGAGAAAAGTTCTGCTTACAGAAATCATTGTTACGCAAATCAAACGACGGCATATTGTAAGATAATTAGTGCAACATTTACTCCTGAAAACAGCCATACAAACACTGATCCACCCGAGTAACACACATGACATTCAGCACTTGTGTCTGTTACTCAGTTGGATCAGTGAGTGTTTGTGTGAGTGTTAGTGGGAGTCAATTAAAGTTGCACTAATTATCTTACAATTTGACGAATGACCAGCTAGCTGAACAACAAGTTTTAATAAAGCGATGGCAGCCGTCTGGCAAGGAGTCGCGCCTATGTATACGTGTATAGGTGCAGAATTTTCTCTACCATTGGATGCCACTATATGTGCTCATCATATATAGTACAAGTAACCACCCATGGAAGTTTCCGCTTTCAAAGAGACAGCGTTATGTTTGTTTAGCCTGCTCTGAAGGCGAACGTTGGCTCCCAGAAATCACGTTCTGAATGCGCCTATCCATTCCCACGACCATTCCGGTTTACACTGACAGCGTGACCTATGCGGCCCACTCGGCTCTGGACACGGAGGGGTGTAGCTCAGAACGAGACCGCAAAGACAGCTGTCGTGCGTCACTGGAAGTCACGAGTGCGCAGTGGTCGCCCCGAAGCCTCGACTACGAACCACTGTTTGCATACATGCACGAGTCCGTGCATGACTGATGCCTGTTTGCAATGCCGCACGTTGCCGTCTACATCACTTCCCGTTGTGCTACAACACATGTGCGCCATTATTTGTGGACGAACTCGGGCTTATACTATGCTGGGCAGTTTCTTTGTTGGCTTACAACTTTCTGCGTTTGTATACGTTTTCATTTCTAGATAAAATGACCACGCTGCCATAAAAACAGACGTTCGTTGCAGTTAGCACCCATGTATCTATGTGACCACCAGGACTGGGAATCAAAGCCGTGCCCTCAACCTTAGCAGCGTGACACTTGGCGCCGAAAGAGCTTGCAGCCCGCGATGCGGCGCTTCGACAAGCCGATAGCCTCGCGCTCCTTTTTTTTTCCCGTGGTTCATATTATCCCTATCAGAGTTTTAAGTGGGGAACCAGGGCTCTTGGTTCCGAGGCCAAGCTGGGCGTGCTGCTGTTGAGTTTGAGGAGCAGCTGAGCTTAAAAACTCGGTAAAATCAGCAGGCAGCGTTGGGTCAAGCGCTCGAGACTTTGGTTTTTAACATCAATATGCCTGACAGTCAAAAGGGACTGACTTCTGGCTTTGTTGATATGACATATCTGAAGTGTTCAGCTAGCATTTTACCAGATGGGAAAAGACGAAGAGATTTACGTTTGTCCTCTTCGTCTTGTCCTGTCTTGAAAAATATCAGATATACTTGACAGTCACTCGTTTATTGCCGACACGTTTGTGATAACTCCTGTTTAGAGGTGGGCGCCTTATTATGAAGCGCGATCAAAATTAAGTTTTATGACTTTCTTGAAGTTCAGCACAGGGAGGTATATACGGGAACACAACCTCTGAAAGTAAATTATGTATCCCGGTGGACTCAAAGCTTGGTGGCAATTATCGCTTTTCAGCCGCCAACTATAGGTTAGATTGACTATAATGAACTTTAGTTGCCTAAGTAAACGTGCAAGTTTGCACTGAAGAGTTCTATACAGTCGTATTTCTACCCTGTTACACTTATCCGAATTCTTGTACACAAGTCGGCGCTCCTGAATTTCCGACTGCAAGTTGCAACTATGGTTGGAATTTTTGCGCGTGTAAAAGTGAGAGAATGTATACGTGCAAAGCTCTTTCTTCGTATGACACGCAGCGATACCTTGGAATATCGCCAATTGATAGTGAACCAGCAACCATTATGTAATTAATAACGCCTCTGCCCTGTTGTCATAATTATTACCATATCAACTGCTTTGTTCTGGCTTGATCGATGTGTATAAAGTTGTTTGAAATAGACCTTTGCAACAAAAACACACTAAAGTTGTTCCAATTGCTTTCAACGACTGACCACTAGTATATCTTTCTGTTGGTTACGCACCAGCGAAGTGTCATTGTTCTCACCATCATGAATACATCAATAGACACTGTGGCCAGCAACTAGTTCGCGCGGCACCAGCTTCTGCAGTTATCAACGGCGTGAACAAAGATACAGGCCTGCACTGGGCTCCGTCTTCCGACGTCGGCTTTTCGTGTGCGCGCGCGTCAGCTCTGGCATTTGAAGGTGCCGACATAGATAACGATGCAGTTTACCAGTTTTAGTATTTCGTAGTCGCACTTTAAAACAGCTCACTAAAATTAGCTGGCAAGACATGCAGCGTATTGGTACAGTGTTAAAGCTTCCAGATGACGATGAGAGTGCAACGGTCCATGCCAGTGGCGCAGCCAGAGGGGGGGGGGGGGAATTCGAGTGGTTTTATTATAACCTGACCACCTGACATTTTACAACTTGTATGCGCGTAAAACGTATGAGCGCACATACAAACAACGCACGAACATACATAAAGAGGTGTTGTACTTGTAGTGTCACGGTTTTGTTTGTAAAAAAAACAAGAAAAAATAAACGGAATGAAACAATGTCCGCAGTACCTCCTCCAGAAAACCTCAGCTAAACGGAGTCCTCAAAAGTGCCCAACGCCTTCCTCTGTATACGAACAGCTTGGCTTCGAGCGTTGCACTGGTACCACCAACAGCTATATATGATTCGGTTCTGGACACCACCTGGAGGCCTGCTTCTGCGCGCCCACCTTGCCGTTTAATTAAAAGCGCAGTGGTCTAAGCGCGCCTCCCGATGCCGAGCAGCGTCAGCGGAAGCGTCATTTGCGGTGGCAATCAGGCACCATCGGAGACACACGGCTGGAGCTTCTCCGAGTCTGCAAACAGGCATGAAGCCAAGTACAGAAAAAAAAGTGTCTGCGAACAATAAAACGGCAGCCGATACCAGTGGCATAGACAGAAATTTTCTGCTCATGAAGAGGGGGGGGGGGGGAGTTGAACCAACATTTTTTCATGTTCGTGTATGTGTTTGCATATATATATATATATATATATATATATATATATATATATATATATATATATATATATATATATATATATATATATATATATATATATATATATATATATATATATATATATAGGCAGTCATGGTGGTTGAGTGGATGTAGCGTTGCATATAGTCCAGTAGATCCGCCGTCAGCGGTCACAACGTGGTTTATTTCGACGTTTCGGCCTAGAGTCTGGCCTTCATCAGGATTAAAGATACAGTTTGTTGGTGCTCAGCTTTATACAATCTGAATTTTTTTTCTTTTTTTTCTTTTTTTCTTTTTCCGCCTTTTTCATTTCTGTCTTTTTTTCCTCTTTCTTTGCCTTCCGATTTGAGATTGTATAAAGCTGAGCACCAACAAGACTCTAGGCCGAAACGTCGAAATAAACCACGTTGTGACCGCTCACGGAGGATCTACTGGACTATATATATATATATATATATATATATATATATATATATATATATATATATATATATATATATATATATTATGTATATATATATATATATAAGGAAAATAAGTGTATACTTAAGGGCTCGTTTTTCCATATTGTCACACAATATTATTGCGATCTAATAGACAATAGTGCCAAGGAATGTATAGGGGAAGCAATTAGACGAATTGTAATGTAAATGGGAAGAAAGAGAAGTGGGTGAAAAGAGAACTTGCCGTGAGGAGAAACCCAACTTGCGACCTTCAAATAACGCGTTCGGTGCTCTACCACTGAGCTACCACTGTGGCTATCCCGCCAGCCACTTTATTGGGTTTATATGTGAATTTAAACGTGGGATTGTCAGTCAGCGCCACCTGTAGCCATGGAGGCGAGTGTGGCACACCCTTTCTGATCCTGTTTGGCATCACGTAGCACGTGAACTTAGTAGGCGCTGGCAGCCAACCAATAGTCCCTCGTATACAACCTAACGGCACCAAGTCTGCCAGTACGAGACCCTCATTGATGAATATATATATATATATATATATATATATATATATATATATATATATATATATATATAATATGGTGTGAACTGCCCTAAAGAAGTCAATGACTGGAGCACTTAGGAGGGAATAAGACTATGACAGCAGGACCATTTTGAAAGCGCGAGGCAGTCCGCCGCGATGTAGCAGTGGTTACGGGTCTCGGCTTCTGTTCGATCATGGCCGCAGTGGTTGCATTTGAATAGAAGGGAAATCGTAGAGGCCCGTGTACTGAGGGATGCCAGTGCACGTTAAATAACACCAGATGGTCAGAATTTCTGGAGCCCTCCACTACGGCGTGGCTCAATATCATGTCGTCGTTTTGGCACCTCCATATGTTGTAACGCTGTAGGTAAG